GCCATCCCTTCAGACGAGGTAGCTTGGGCCATCACATGCTGACCTGGTGATGTACCAGAAACAGGCACCAGGACCACTGGTTGTTGGGAACCCTGTGGTGCAGCTCCAGGGATACCTGGTTGCATTGGAATAGCTACAGGTACACCTGCAGGGAACTGGGGGACAACATATCCCTCCGCTGTTAGTATTTGAAGTATATAAATTACTGTAGGTTTACCACAAATTTAGAGTGATAGTTGCTTCATACATTTTCCAGGGGGTAATAGTGGACTACACTGAAACCTCCAGAAAGGAGATGCTATTAATTTCTGTGTCTCATTTTAGAGCTTAATTTCAATTAGATGTCGTTTGTTATCCATTTGTGTGGTGACTTCTCCTTTATAGTACTAAAACTATTTTGTTTCACTCTTCCTTCCTCTTAGCATATCTATTCGTTTTATTGAGCAGCGTAAAAATGATTTTGAACATTTACATTCCACAATTATCTCACGACAATATCAGTTCAAAGACGTTTTGTCAAAGCTGACTCCCAGCGGTTTGAGTCAGGGTCCGCAATTGGGTTCTTCAATCCCGTAATCCCGAGGGTTATTTTTGGCATTTCATCACCCAAATGATACTTTCAAACCCGAATTTCGAGTCTCGAGCTTCAAATAAAGGAAATCCCGGGTCCCGAGAAACCTACTGGGGACCGTTTTGAGTGCCAGTGTATTTTAAAGTACTTTAAAGTCCCAGACCAAGTGAAAGTGCAGCTTTAGAAGGGCGTGATAAGCTTTGAGTTTTGGCTACTCTACCTGCGGTTGCTGTTCGCAGCAGGGTTTCAACAAACAGGTGCATATCGCTGCCCAGATTCCAATCCCAAACGTAGCGATACCCATCATAAGCATGATGGCCAGAATAGCCATCTTTCCTTGGTAGTACTCATTGTAGGACTCGACGTCATCAAAGTAAAACTCCGGGTCGCTCGACGTGATCTGAGAGATGCCAATCCTGTAAAAAAGGATGATTATTCCACCAAACACGGCGGATGTGATAGAGAAACCCATAAAAACGCCGGCCTGAAAAAAAAAATTATTATATAGACACGAGTGTTTTACTGGAAAATATACCACTCGTAAAATTCATAAAAAGTACATCCAGGACACAAGTGGTTTATTTTCCATAATCTCACACGTGAGTTTATCGATTACGTAATTTCGGTAATTTCCCTCTATTATTTTATCGATGTCTTTTTGTCTATATAATAAAAAGAACTTTACACGGCGGCTTGAAGATAGGAATTTTATTTTCTCGTGGTAAAACAATATTTTACTCACTCGCTGCGCTCGTTTGTAAAATATTGTTTTGCCACTCGAAAATAAAATTCATATCTTCCCTCCACCGTGTAATATCCTCTATATAAATGAAAAGGAACAATATAAAATTCCACTAGGAAACTGTAAGTTAAAAGGAATGGTCAAAATCATATTAAGACCGTTAGGGAACAATAAAGCCAAGTAACGTCTTACTTACAAAAGAATTGCGGGTATTAGTCCTTTCTCTACCACTTCCAGGGATTCCGAGAGCTCCTGTAATGCACATCTGTGGCAGACGAAATAACAACGAAAGGTTTATACATGGTAAAACCTAATTTATAAATAAATTGGACCTTTACTTTTATTGTTGAAAGAAGTTGAGAAAACATGCATTCTTCTATTCATGACGTCATATCTCGTAACCATAGTAACTGACAATCTTTAAACTTGTCTCGAAATGCATGCGAGGGGATCAACGAACAACTACTGAAAACGTCAGGTGTTGATGTATTACCATCTACGAAAAAACTCAAAAAACATCATTGGGGGGCGGGGGGGAGGTTTAAAACTGGAAGATTGGGATCTGCGACTGTTCAGATTAAGTTTTTAACTCAATGAACCCAGCAAATAACCTCCAAGAGCAAACAGAACAAAACCAAAGTAACCAAGGAACCTGTTTTAACAAGAACAAGTAAAATTGTTCTTAACTTTTAGCAGAAATCTCGCCTCACTGTTATTAAATTGTTCTTGTAAGTATAGACTACGAGAGGGGTTTTTTGTTTCGACTTCCTTTCGAAAAGTCTAGAAAGATAATTTCAATTCGTATTAATTTTGTTTTGCTAAAGTTGTTATTTGTCCAATGGTATGATTTGGAACTTTTTTTATTTGCAGTGATACAAATATCAGTTGTGCATCGGGTAAATGCTAGAGACAAATACTCAAAGTTTTACCGTTTTTTTCATCTGTTCGCTCGGTGTGTTTCCCAACAAAAACGTGCAATGCATTTGTAGCCGATGAGCCATGAATTCATGAATTTTGCTTTGTCAATGAAAAAATACATTTGCTTCTTATGTGGTTCCTAATTTTTGGGCAAATTTTAACCTCGTTGTTCTTATAAATATTGTTCCTAAAAAGGCTTGTTTCCATATGTTCGTCTGAAATAATGTTCAGACGATCGGGACAATCATATGGAAACACTACCCGGACACCGATCACAAACGACCCGGCAGGACGACTAAGCGCCTGTTTACATTGAGTGGGGGACCCCGGTCTAGTGGGGTTGGTTTCTTTTGTTTTCACGCTCTGGAGGACACAAAACAAAAGAAACCTACCCCACTAGACCGGGGTCCCCCACTCCATGTAAACAGGGTCTAAGACGACCTCGATCTATCCGGTCGATCGGGACGATCGTGTAAATTTTGAAGCGATCATGCATATGGAAACGCTCTCAGACGACTGAGACGAACGGGACGATCGAAGGCTATCCCTGAATCGGAGCTGGAAGAGTATCGTTACAATTAATCTTGATTCCCGAACCGAAGTACAATGATTCATGATTCCCAAGTTTTTAAAAGAATAGAGCTTCATGATTCTTATATGTTTTGTAACTTTCACGATTCATGATTCATGATTCCATGCTAAGGTGATCCGCCGGCCGTGTGACCCTACATCCGGGAATTTTAATAAGACGAGTATTAAAGAAAAGTCCAGAGGTGTTTATCTGGCAATAGGCTGCGTTTTTCCGAGTTATTCGATGATATTTCGCTTATGATAAACGTGAGAAGATTATGCGTGGTTGTGGGTAGTCTTATCAGTGCCGCGAAAGTGTGTGGTCGTGCGATTTCCGCATGGTGTTGACAGGTATGTGATCGCGTGGTTGAACTGCGGTTTGGCGAAAATATTCTGTGCCAGCCATTAATATTCTTTCGTGGGTGTTTAGCTTAGCTGATTGTACCTTGGAAAAGCGACTCTCGACTCAGGAAAATTGTATCTAGGTCTAGTTTCAGCGGGCTCTAATGGCATTGAACCATAGGCCGATTTTTGCAGATAAGAAAGCGATAATTTGTCCACTACGTTTCATTCAGTTTATTGTCTATTCCATGCGGAATCCTGTTGTTTATCGAACCGCGAAAAAACTAGTGTTTTGCTAACTATTTAAGTTGTTATGTAAGCCTTTTACCAGGCACTCTTTCGCTGCAGTTCACTCAACTTAAAAATTTTTTAAACTGAAATGACACCGGTTTGAAACTCTGCGAAGTCAGTTTACCGAATAAATGTTCTAAATTTGCGTCATTTTAAATTTGGAGTCGTTTGAATGCTTCTAGGGATCGACCATTAAGTTAGTGCCCGGCGTCAGATAAACGCTTTTAATCGGCCTTTGAATGAGTTTTATTGTTTTAAATTGCCAAGTAGTAGAATGAGATGATATTTTTGCTAACCCGGTTTTCAAAAATCCAGCTATCTACTATATGATACTATATGTCCTCGTGGAACTCTTGTAGCTTCTCGACGCCGCAAAATCAAGAGAAATTAAAAAGCACATCGCAAGGCCCGACGTTCGCTCTCCGATTAAATGCATCATTATGTTTGGCTTGTTTGCGAAACACGCGCAAAAATTCTAATGTCTGACCCAGAAACATCGCTGACGATCCCGCGTCTCTTGTCGTTGAGGCGATCGAGACCATCAATCGTCCCAGTCATCCGGATCTTGTCGAAGTTTTTTGAAACGACTGGGGCGATCGGGACGATCCGGACGATCATGATAGCGAAATTGGTTCCTATAAACAAAAAAGCGTGTATCAAAAGGCGTCTGTATCAGACGTTTTCTAAACTTATTCAACATAAAAGTAATATTATCCCTTTATAATAAGCAGGAAAATGATTTTGCTTACCCATATTCCGATCCAAACTCCAGAATACACGTAGCCAGTAAAGCTTCCAGGGACAAGTCGATCGGCAATGCCGAAACTAAACAGTAAAAATCCAATAAGAATTTGACTAATGGCCAAAAGCCTAGCCATTTTAGCTACGCTTGCCGAGTTTTCCGCCATGTCGACAAAGCGACTTGCAGTTAACAGTGGAAGGAAGTTTGCGTCATAAAACTCTTTTGAATATGTAAAGCACAGGACACCCAACGGCTGTTTTCTGTAAAGTATCTGTTAGGAGAAGCAAATATTACCTAGAATTTTTTTATTATTTGAGGACTGCTAAAAAATTTCTAGTTGACGTTTCCATTCATGTACAATTTTCGAAGCTTATCTGATAAATTCAATACGATTTTCTGAAGTTCCATTTTTCACATTTTACTGTTCAGTGTATGCTATTTTTGTACAAAAAGGGAAACCTAAAATTTTCGGATTCAAAAATGTAATGGAGAAAGGAATCAGGAAAATTCTCAGTTTCCTAATACATTAAATTGCGTCTAAAATTTTCGGAGAATTACTGGCCTGTAACCCTGAAGCCCTTGTAATTTCTATTGTGAAAGACTCAGGAAAGAAGAGAGGGAATAAGCTTTTCAAACTTTGAAGACAACGTGCTCCGCATTGAAGGAGAGGGCATCGTTTCAGCGCATTACAGGGAGATTGTGAGAAAGGTCGGCAATGATTATCGTGTTTTCCTTTTGGAGCCAGTTTCTATCGCAAACTTAGCCGACAAAAGTGATAGAAAGGCAAAGTCTCCTTCAGATACGTACAACCCTAGTCAAAACGTCTTTATAGGACACTTGAGGAAATTAGGTACAAAGACGCACTTTGTTCTGTTTGCTAAATTAACTCATATTCTACCTCTTAAAAAAAGCTTGGGGATGTTGTTATAAAGGGCTATTTCTGCTGTCCCCCTTTCCCCCAAGCAGTGTTGATTATGTTGAACTAAAACTTTAATACATAACGTGAACACTGCACCAAGGGGGAAGGGGGGAGGGAAGATGCCTCAATTTGAGGAGCTATAGCGTTAGTGTCCCAAAAGTTTTGACCAGGGTTGTAGTTATTACAGTCCTCTCCGTTCAGATTTTTGCTCAGTTAAAAGGTTATGCCGCTGCTGTGAACGACTGTCCTGTCCTGTCTGTCCTGCGACCGCAAATGCTGTATGTGTATGTGAAAAACTCGTTCAAAAAGGGGTTTTTCTAACTAGTAGTCTTCTGGGTAGCGTAACGGCTGTTTTTTATTTTTTCATTTGTTGTTCGTAAAGTAAGAAGTACGGCCGCGCGAAAGCTGAATAGAGGTGCTAGTACTAGAACCACATAAATGGAGAATTTGCTAGCGGCTAAAAGATTTGATGCTGCTTTTCCCTCACTTTCCTTTGTCTTCGCGCACGCATCGTTTATCTCGCGACCCATATTCCTTATGCGCCTGCAACGCGTGCTACACGTTTGAACACTGGACAAGAAAAACTGTCTCAATAATAAACTAACTGTTGCGACGGGGGTGCCCTGGCAGAAACTTTTGTGAAAGTCGCATACTTTATTATGCCAACGTCCTAAATTTCCCTCTCTGTCTTCCCATACTCTCCCAGTCGGATAAAATAAAGTACGAAAATGTACCTATCTCTATTTTATGAAAAATTTCAAGTATTTAAAAGTCACCATTATAACTAGCAGCTTTAGAGAGTAAGGTGGCACAGTTGGGCCGAGCATTTGCCTCCCA